CATATTTGATATTATAAAATATTTTTTCAGCTGACCAATCAAGTTGAAGCACGATTCCTTTACGCAAGTAACTAACAATGCAATTTGAACACTTCATAGAGAGTGACCAATCAATGTCACATGAAGTAGTTAGCAAAAAATTAAGAAAGTCAACTGGCATTAAAAATATTATTTATAAGAAAATATTAATTAGCGAGTAGTTGATCCACTTGTTTTGAAGGGTATATAGTTTATATTATTTCCAACTACTTAATTAGTGAAGGCACGAGGGATATATTTTAGGGGAAGTAATTATAAAGATGAATGGAATGGGGCTGGCGCTGGCCCGAAGGCTGGGTTGTTTTGGGGCGCACGAGCCACGACGTAACGTCCCACCCACCATTATTGATGTTCACTTGTAATAAATAAACAAATAAATAAAAATAAAATAAATATCAAGCTCCATTCATGTTGACTTATAAAATCTAAAAAAATTAAAGAGATCATTTATGTACAAAGATATCACAATGATTTTTGTCTACCAAATTTCAAATCGGATCGTCCTAAGCATACTTGAGACTAAACACAAAGCCCAAAAAAGATGGGCAAGCTTTCTATGCGTCCCCTACAGCATAAAACTTATATACTTTCTTTATCCAACAATCCATTTTGAATGGAAGGCTAAGATTGCCCCAATCACAATGTCACGTCTCTACACTATTTTATTTTTAATATTTTTTCTATAAACTATTTTGACACTATATTTTGGACGTCTAATCATCTACTAAACTCACATTAGTGAAAAATATAAACAAATATTTCCAATGAAATAAAATGACCAAAATACTCTTGAAAGCTTCAAGGGGTATTTTGGTCATTATATTTTATAGAAAAATTATTTTTAATATTTTTTATAGGTGTGCCCCAATGAGAATATAGCACATGCCAAATTTTATATTCATACAATTTATATAAAAAAAGTAAAAATAAAATACTTTGAGACGTTGGATCTAAGATCAAACTGTGAGTGGCTCTCTTGATCAAACTTGGATAGCTGGATGGTAGGTGGAGGATAGTTCCTCTATGTTGTAGGGCAAGTATAGAAACCTTTCCTAAAAACGATTATCTAGAACTTCTCGATACATCTTAAACTATCCAATCAGGCATTTAACAGCTAGGACTAGTTGTGAGCCTTGTACTAAAGATGTATGGTCTCGTAGTATACAATCACAAAAAAAAAAAAGAAAATCGTAGCATCCCATTCTCCAATCCTAATGACTTCAAAAAAAAAAAAAACAAGTAAGAAAAAAAGCAACCATATAGATACAATCGATGGAGCCTAGGCAGCAAGATAGCGTCACATGATGGGTGTAGTTTGTATAAAGCCGAAGCTCTAAACAATCAAAGTAAAGCACCCCTTCAAACTTATGCCCATAATTTCAATCATTTCAGTTCGATAGATTTGTATTTTTTTAAATTATTTTAGAGGTGCACGAGTTTAGATGTTGACACCCATAATTTCAGCACAAAACTAAATCATGCTGCTGCCTGGCCGAGATCTGAAGATTGAGATCGACATTGTTTTAGGTGAGCTATAATCTTATGACATTTAAGGGTGTTTTAGATATGAAAAAGTATACAATAAGATCATTTATTTGTATAATGTAGTCATAATTAATCTAGACATTTGAACATGAAATTGGGTGGTTGCATTTAATCCATAGACCAAACACAAAATTAAAAAATTTATTTTTCGAACTTTGTGATACACTCAGATTATCAAATTTCACATCCAATTATGACCTCCTCGTACAATCTGTAAAGGATCTCATTGTATACAATCCTTTTACGGATTGTACTTTCCAAGGTATATTTTGAATATTTTTTAAGAGTATGTAAGGCACGAAGCATAGACAACCAAATTTTCTCTCCAAATTGCTTTTTCTATTTTTATTTTTGGAGGTGTGTGAGGGTAGGAAGTGTACAATCCTCATTCAAAAACTTTTTTGTTCTTTATGTGATCTACATTGCCCATTTTGTTAGAACTACCATGAATCAAAAATGATTTCAAAATCTCATTTCTTTGACAAACATCAATATCTCGTTTTGAAAGCCTCGATGAATAGTAAAAACCAGTGGTTTAAAAAATAAAGTCGGTGACCCGGATTGGGCATCTCAAAAACCGATCCGAATCGGTGAATCGACGATCCGGATTGAGAATCGGGCCGAATTGCTCAGTTTAAGCCTTAAAAAAATTCAAAAAAATTATTAAAATTCATTATAAATATTGGTTTTTAGGAATCCAATAAAAAATAGGGATACTACATTATTAACTTTCATTGTTTTCATCAATTTATGAATATTGAAATATTCTTCTGTATGAATTTATGTTGACTATTAAATTTACATCACACAAAAGAAATCATAGAATTATCATGGATTAAGTATATAATCATATATGGACTACAATAAAGATTTGACTAAATCAATAAAAAATTGGCCACTAAAATATCGAATTGGATGAAAGCCCTAATCTGCTAAAAAAACCCAAATTATTACAACTAACAAACTATAATATTA